TCAAGAATAGCTATTTGACAATTTGAAGGCAAATGTGTGGTTCAATTCTAATTAGGCCATCGCACGTCAAAGAATGCACCAGATTTTTTATTATTTTGCTTTATTTTCATTTCACATCATTTTTATGACTTATCTATATCTAACAATATTGTCTGTAATACTAATAAATACCTTTTTTGTGAGAACAAGACAAGGATTGAATAACTCAAACAATCCATTATATTATATAAAGGATGTAATACAGAGGCTGGTAGATAGTACACGCATACCTTGGAGATATTGTAGATATGGTTTCAGATGATCACAAAAAAGTGAATGTCACAATAAAGTAATTCACACTTTATTTATAATAAATTTAGTGGTTTCCCAGTGAATATAAAAGTTACATTTACACTCTACTACAGTCTATTAAGTGCACAATAGTATTATGTCTAAAATATATATATATATCTTAATTTAAAATACTTTATTGCCAAATAATGCTAAAGATCATCTGAGCCTTCAGCGAGTTATAATCTTTTTCTGGTGGAGGGTCTTGCCTTGATGTACATGACTACTGACTGATCAGGGTAGTATTTACTGAAGGTTGAGGTGGCTGTGGAAATTTCTTAAATAAGACAACAATGAAGTTTGCTGCATCAACTGATTTTTCCTTTTAGGAAAGACTACTTTGTAGCATGTGAAGCTGTTAATGATAGCATTTTACCCATCGGAGAATTAATTTCGAAATTGGAGTCAATCCTCTGAAACTCTGCTATTGCTTTATCAACTAAGTTTATGTCATATTCTAAATGATTTGTTGTCATTTCGACAATGTTCACAGCATCTTCACCAGGAGTAGATTCCATCTCAAGAAACTACTTTCTTTGCTCATCTATAAGAAGTAACTTTGCATCTGCTGAAGTTTTATCATGAGATTGCACCAAATCAGTCAGTCACATCTTCAGGCTCTACTTCTAAATCTAATCCTCTTGCTATTTCCAGCCGTCTGCAATTACTTCCTCCACCGAAGTCTTGAACCCCTCAAACTCATCCATGAAGGTCAGAATCACCTTGTTCCAAACTCCTATTAATGTTGATATTTTGACCTCCTCCCATGAATCATGAATGTTCTTAATGGCATCTAGAATGGTGAATCCTTTCCAGAAGGTCTTCAATTTACTTTTCTTGGATCCAGCAATATCGGAGGAATTACAATCTATGGCAGCTATACTCTTATGAAATGTACTTAAACAATACGACTTGAAAGTTGAAATTACTCCTTGATCCATGGGCTGCACAATGGATGTTGTGTTAGCAGGCATGAAAACAACATTCATCTCTTTGTACATCTCCATCAGAGCTCTTGGGTGGTTAAGTGCATTGACAATGACCAGTAATAGTTTGAAAGGAATTTTTATTTTCACAGCAGTAGTTCTCAGCAGCAGCTTAAAATATTTAGTAAGCCATGCTGTGAACAGATGTGCTGTCATCAGGCTTTGTTGTTCCATATATAGAGCACAGGCAGAGTAGATTTAGCATAATTCTTAAGGGCCCTAGGATTTTCAGAATGGTCAATGTACACTGGCTTCAACTTCAAGTCACAGCTGTATTAGCCCTAACAAGAGAATAAGCTTGTCCTTTGAAGCTTTGAAGTCAGGCGTTGACTTCCCCTCTCTAGCTATAAAAGTCCTAGATGGCATCTTTTTCTAAAAGAAGGCAATTTTGTCTACATTGAAAATCTGTTCTTTAGTGTAGCCACCTTCATCAATTATTTTAGCTAGATCTTCTGGATAACTTGCTGTAGCTTCTACATTAGCACTTGCTGTTTCACTTTGCACTTTTATGTTAGGGAGATGGCTTCTTTCCTTAACACATTGACTGCCACACTAGAAAAAATTTTTTTTCCTCGGGGCCATGGTGTTTTATTATGAAAATAGAATAAAAACTTCAAAAACAAAATGATCCTTTCTAATTTAATGAAAAATTTGTTATTTTTTTATTGTTTTCTGTGTGTGAGTTACATGCAACTTGGAAAAATAGTTCACGCGGCTCTCAAGAGGAAGAGAAGTGAGTTACATATGCTTCACAAGGCCCTGGGCTCAAAATTAGCGTGAGTTCAAAACAACTCACAGGGCAGTTAATGTATTAAACCTCCTGAACCGGCCTTTGCTAGCTTCCAACTTTTCTTCTGCGGCTTCCTCACCTCTCTCAGCCTTCACAGAATTCCAGAGAGAGCCGTGCTCTAGATAAGGATTTAGATTACAGGAATGCTGTGATTAGTTCGATCTTTGATTCAGACCACTAAAATTTTTTCCCTATCAGTAATAAGGTGGCACAAGAGGCCAGCTTATGGCCCATCTTGGTTTTTGACATGTCTTCTTCACTAAGCTTAATCAATTCTAGCTTTTGGTTTAGAGTGAGAGACATGTGATTCTTCCTTTTACTTAAATACTTAGAGGCTCTTGTAGAGTTATTAACTTGTCTAATTTCAACATTGTTGTATCTCAGTAATAGGGAGGCCCGAGGAGCAGAAGAGAGATGGGGAAATGGCCAATTGGTGGAGTAGTCAGAACACACACAACATTTATCAATTAAGTTTTCCATCATATGTGGGCACGGTTTGTGGCACCCCAAAACAAGTACAATGGTAACATCAAAGTTCATTGATCACAGATTATCATAACAGATATAATAAAAATGAAAAAGTTTGAAATACTGTGAGAATTACAAAAATATGACAATGGAGACAGAAAGTTAGCACATGATGTTGGAAAAATGATACCCACATACTTGCTGGACCCAGTGTCGTCACAAACCTTCAATTTGGTTTTTTTTTTCCTTAAAACAAGAAACAATATCTGCAAAGCACAGTAATATAAAATATGATAAAATGAAGTATGTCCGTATGCACTCCATAAATATTATCTATTAATATGCAAGAGTAGAAAGATCAAGGTTCATGAACTCAAACTGAAAAATGTCCAAGTACACACCTTTACCTATGAATAAGAGGAGGAAAAAAGAAGCCCTAAAGAATTAACAAAAATAACCATAGCGTAATATGCACCAAACATTTTAAGGTAAAACACTTCCAGTGAGTACATACCTAAAAATACAGCATAAAATGACCACCTAGCTTATTTATCACATACACTCAAAGCAAGGCACAGAGGGTACAGATAAAATTACAATGAGGAATAAAGAAACAAAAAATAAGCTTTTGAGGAACAATTAATAGAACTAGATTATTCAGTGTGAGAAAGTAAAAAATGGAGTAATGTCTTCGAGTATAAGAGGAAAGCTATACAAATAAACTCTTTTCACCACAGATAAAACAAAACAATATGGGTTTAAACATCATTACAAACTGTTTTAGATAGAAGAAAGCACTTCTCTGTTACCAGGTTTTAAGAAGCAAGAGGTAGAAAAGTGGTTGCCAGAAGCTGGAGAGAGGAGAAAATAGGAAGTTGCTATCCAATGGGTACAGAGTTGCAGTTATGCAAGATAAAAAGTGCATATAATTAACAATCCTGTAGTGTACACTTAGAATGAGTGTAAATCTCATGTTATGTATTTTTTACCACAATTTTTTAAAATTTGAAAAACAAGAATGAACAGGAGAATATTTGGGAGCATAGAAATGAGTACAGGGAGAAGTGAATGATCTAGGTGAAGAACCTAGGCAGAAGAAGAAACAAGCCCACCAGTAGAGTGGGCTAATAACTTACTCAGTGAACTGAAAGAAGTTGAATGTGACATAGGCATAGTAACAAGAAGGAAAGTGGCAACAGATGAAACTAGAAATGCAGGCAGGAGTGGCTTGATCAAGCAGAGACTTACAAGCCATGTTAAAGATGAATTATATCCTAAAATCAATGAAAAGCTTTTAAATGGTTTTAAGAAAGGGAATGACATAATCTGATTAGTGTTTAGGAATGATTTAACAGCCTTGCTTTTCAAGTCTCAATTAATACAATTAAATAAAATTAGGAAAGGATCTCCCCTAAAAGGAACAAAGGGAAAATTTCAGAAATATCTGGAACTTAGAATTAAGGCAAAACTACATTAAGATAGAAATTAATACAATTTGCGGTTCTACAACGAAAGTAGATCAAATAAACTGAATCAAATATGAGTTCAACGCAGTTAAACTATAGTAACTTGGTAAACTCTGTCCAGGAAATGATAGGCATATACTTTGAGTTTCCTTTCATATGATAGCATTTTTCCAAGCGGCAGAGAGAAAAAGTGATGGAAATGTATCTCATGTCTGACTTCTCACTAACCATAGTATTATGGTTTGAATGTATTTCATTCAAAATTCAGGTTTTGCCAATATGATAACATTAAGATGCAGGGCCTTTAAGAGGTTAGCAGGCCATGAGGGCTCTGCCCTTGCAAATGGAATTAGGTGCTCTTGTAAAAGGTCTTGACAGAGGGAGTTTTGTCCCCTTTGCTCTTTGGACTTCTGCCATGTGAGGACACAGTGTTTCTTCCCTCAGGAGGATGCAGCATCAAGGTACCATGTTAGAAGCAGAGAGCAGCCCTCTCTAGACACTGATTCTGCTGGCACCGTAATCTTGGACTTTCCAGCATCCAGAAATGTGAGAAAATAAATTTCTGTTCTTTATAAATTACCTGGTCTCAGGTATTCTGATATAGCAGCACAAAACAAAGACATACAGTATGAAAGATGAGTGAGCTTCAGTTGTAAAGTCTGATAGGCAATGTATTTAATTAGGATATTTTTTGAAGCTCCTAGATATTTGGTTTGCATCAGCCCTAAAACAGCATTGTATACCATTCCACATACATAGAACAGAAAAAAGTATTCTCAAACTTACCTCAATTTTAACATAGTAAAAATAGAGTACAATAATCTGTAAGAGAAAGTTATCAGTTTCAATTTGCTTTTTTTCCCCTTACTGTTGGCAGTCAACTAAAAGAAAGAATATAAACTAAATGTTTGCCTAATAAATTATTTATTTGTGAAGGCTTTATGGTAGGAAAAACCTTACCAACGGTACAGCTGTCTTCAAGTACCACATCAACATTTCTGTCTCTGTACTCAACCCTGAAGTCCAGCATCCGAGGTTGCCTTTCTACAATCTGCCTGGATGGCATTACAGGTCGAAACGCCGAAGAAGCAGAGGGAGTAGGAGCTGGAGCTGGATGATTTGCTGGATTAAATGCAGGTCCTGGTATGGTCTCACCTCCATATTCACTAAAATGTTGACACAAAAGAAGGATTATCGTCAACCAAATCATTACAGAATACCACTAGGGACCCTTTCCATACTTAGCTTGTGTTGTTCTTCTAATCAAGTTTACCTACCCATACGTCAAGGCCAAACTCAAGTTCTACTCCCTCCACAAAATCTTTCCCAAGGACTGAAGGTCACATTACTCTCCCCCTCATCCTTGTCTTTCTATGTTTATTGGCAATATCATATCATTTAGCATTTAATTAGGTTTTTGCCTTATATTGTTATGATGTTAGTAAAACATCATTTTAAACTCTGTAAATTAAGAACAATGCCTTCTCCTTCACTCACTCTTTTTTTTTTTTTTTTTTGAGACAGAGTCTCACTGTGTTGCGTGGGCTAGAGTGCTGTGGCATCATCCTAGCTCACAGCAACCTCACACTCCTGGGCTCAAGCGATCCTCCTGCCTCAGCCTCCCGAGTAGCTGGGACTAATAGGCATGCGCCACCATGCCCGGCTAATTTTTTCTATATATTTTTAGTTGCCCAATTAATTTCTTTCTAATTTTAGTAGAGACGGGGTCTCGCTCTTGCTCAGGCTGGTTTCGAACTCCTGAGCTCAAACAATCCGCCCGCCTCGGCCTCCCAGAGAGTTAGGATTACAGGCGTGAGCCACCGCGCCCGGCCCTTCACTCACTCTTACTCACTGAATTATTTCATTCACTAACCCTACATTCCACAAAGACTATTTTGAAACTTCACTGTCCTTGAACCTCAATTCTCCCTATCTCACGCTTTAGACTTCAAAGATAATTGTTTACCTACTTTACTGAGAAAACAAAAGCCATCAAGAGAAATTTCCCTTTTCTTCTTAACATTGAATCAAAAGCTAACCTGCAAATGCACTCTTGCTGTTGTCCTCTCTCTCTCTCTCTCCTTCTCTCATTCTCCCTCCTTGCTCCTCACTTAGGAATTATCATCTTCCTTTCCAGTATCTTTGATATCTCCTTCTCTCCTGGATTCTCCATCTCTCTATGCTAATAGACACATAGCCTTTCATTTCTTCTTTTACCTTAATCTTTTCTATTTCATGGGAAACACAGGCAACTTCCTCTAAGAATATTCTTTCCTCCTCAACCCATCCCCGATTCCATCTTTCTTTTAGCTAATTTTTTGTGGGTTTTTTGTTTGTTTGGTTGGTTGGTTGGTTGGTTGGTTGAGACAAGGTCTTGCTCTGTTGCCCAGGCCGGAGTGCAGTAGCACAATCATAGCTCACTGCAGCCTTGAACTTCTGGGCTTAAGTGATCCTTCTGCCTCAGCCTCGCAGAGTGCTGGGATTATAGGCATGGGCCACCATGCCAGGCCTCTTTTAGCTAATTATACTCATACTTTTCATCTCAGATTGAATGTTTTTCAACTCAGAGCACATTTTGCTACCTCAGACTAGGTTTAATTCCCCACTACTATCTATAATTATAAAATCAGCTGTATAATCATTTGACATCTATGTCCCCAATAGAATGTAAATTCTACAAGGATAATGCTCAAATTTGTGTCTTTAATGGGTTAATCTTCTACCCTGAGCTCAAAATTTTATACACAGAAGGCGCTCAAATATTTGCCAAACTAATGAGAAGAGGAATAATTATTTCAAAATTTGGCTTTTCTCTGATTTTATTGTATGTATTATCAACCCCCTGCCTGGGAAGAAGGCAGAGAGGCAGGGAACATAAGGAGTGTTTCAGCTGCAACATCATTATGGTATATGTATTCCACCACCACCAGAACTCAAGACCAGCTCTAAAATATCTTTCTTCTCACCTTGAATTTATAGAAAAACAATGGACTGGGAACGTGCATAGGAACAACAACAAGAATCAAAAACATGCCAAGTTAAGTATCATTCATACATTAAGCAGGAAAAATATTTGTATTTATTTTCCTTCTTCATACTATTGCTCTGAATAGTGTTTATCAACTAGATTATACAGCTGATTTAGTGAGTTGTGATCAGTCTTTTAAAGATTAGAACACAATGAAATGGAAATTTTCAGAATTGTGTCACTTAATAGTTAGGACCATGTATTATTTCCTAAAGCTTTTAATTCTGTTACATATTTGTTTATAGGTGCTTTGGAGTCTTAAGTATTTTTCATTATAAGTCATAGACAAAAATACTTGAAAGCAACTAGTTTAGATCTCACCAGAGTTGAGATACTCCAGTAATCACTGATACAAAGACAAAAACCTATTCTTCTCCTAATTTTTAGATTCAAAGAAAGTAATCTTGTAAGGAAAACATGAGAACAGAGAAAATGTCCAAAGCAGAAAAGAATGTCATTACTACAATCCAAAGTGAATTCCTAAATATCTATGAATAGAATTTGGGCACCACACTTCACATCTCTGAAGTTTGTCACAATTTCTCAGAACCCAAGAAAAACAGCTAATAGTAAACTGGTCACTGAAACTGTTTCTTGACTCCAAATCCAGCCCTCTATATAGTCTATTCTGTGATGCTGGGGCTGGGGATTCTGCAAAACTGTATTTGCCTTTGCTAAATGGTTTCCTGTTAGATTCTTCCAATAGAAGATATTACATAGAGTGCAGTAGTTAGGAGGAGGGGAGGAGAGACTTTCTTCTTCCTGCTTGCATGCATTTCTATCTGTATCTTCCTGTAGGTAGTCCTCTGTTTTGGTTTTTGGTTTTTTCCCAGCATTCTTAAAACCAGCTTCCTGACATTCCCTCAGACACTAGCAGCAGCTGGAAAGTATGCATTCAAAGAAATATCCCCAGCTTCACGGGACCCCTCTGAGCTTCACAGTTCTGTTAACCCCTTTGTTTCCTAAACCTAAGAGTAGGAGTTTCCTCCAGCAGTTACTATATCCAGGTTACCACCTCTTTTCGCTCTTTTAGTCTTCCACACCTGTGTAACCAATCCTATAGTCAATTCCCTTTGTTGAAATATTGTTGAAATATTACTTGATGTATAAACAGTAGAAACTCTAGACTTGGCAGCCTAAATCCTGACTTCAGTAACCACCACAGAGAGTCATAGTCACTCCT